TGGTGCCCAACTCAAGAGACTATTTGCTCTTTTCTTCCGCCTTCCTTTAGTATGGATGTGCGTTAATGTGTTAACATAAAAATCTGACTTCTTTCCTATGCTCCCATCTACGCTTCTGAAGGCGTACAGAAGATCAGGGAGCTGAGTGAGAAGTAAGGATAGAGTACTTGGACAGAAATTACTCAAGAAATGAAAAGTGACAAATGCCGAACCAAGGCCCAGTCCAAAGTCTCTCTTAAACCTCTTCAAATCAAGCTTCTAACTCCAGAAGCACAGACTTTGGCAGTTTCCTGAAGTGTCCCTGGACTCTAAATACAGAAATCTGCAGGTGGTTTTTTTGCCTTCTCACCTTCTTTGTGCTCCACCTCAGGCTTCACAGAACTCTACGGGAACCATTTGCCTCAACAAAATAGAAATTCTCCATTATCTGAGTGCGTATGAAAGATCCTCAGGGAAAGTTTTCAGATTTCTAAATCTTGAGTTGCAGAGATATACCAATGCCTAACTCATGATCTTGTGTTTCCATAGAACTCTGGTCTGGTAAGATATGGAGGTTGGAAGAGTTAGACGAATGCCGTATGATGAACTGAAATCTCTCTGCTTCTTGATGGAGAGGATGAGACACTACCATTGATCACAGGAGTGATTTTGAGTGGAAGAAGCAAGTGGGAGAAAGGGGAAGGTAGGAAGGAAATGATGAGCGAACGAGAGAGACCAGGGCAAAATCCAGACAGCTGAACACTAGACTTATGACTGGATGGTGGCACAAGCCTGAGAAGATACAGAAAACACTGTCCAGCTGTGGTGCAGCTGACTAAATGGCGATGATCAGTTTCTTAACATCTTTTTCAACTTTCATATCGCATGCAGCATGGAAGATAAGGTTCTAGTATGAGACGTTTGAAAAAAATCTCCAAATTAGGCAGGGCCAGGATTGAAACCTGGCTTTTCCTCTTTCCAACCCTTTTTCCAAGTTGTGATGTCAACACAAAAAGGCATAAATTACTTTCCATCTACTCTAAGATACCAGGAGAGAAAAGTGTCCACCTAGGAATAGACATCTACTTCAGTGAGCTGAAAACCTTCAGTCCTTCTTGCTCAATTTGTCTTTTCTCCTCCTAAGTACTGCAAGTCCCCAAAATCAACTTAAGAAAAGCTTACTGGATATACGACTGCAAAGATTTGGGATCAAATAAATAGTGTATTTTTGCCAAACATCATCCAGCAAGTTGTAACCAAATCTTTTTAGGAGTTTTCTTGGTCTCACCAATTGCTCACTAGCAAGTAAGCCTGAAGTACAGTTTCCAAGTACGGGTGATTTTTGGTGTTTGGATGCTCAGCTGAAACCACAGACTTAATTTTCAAAACTACTGACTACTGAGACAGTCCTGTCGATTCCAGATGGCTGAAGAGCATTAATGGTCTTTGAAAGTGCAGGATGCAAAAACTCAGTTGAACTTCCCCAATGGAGGCAACCAACAATGACGGACATGACTGAAAAGGTCTGTGGCTTTCTCCCGATTTCTAAAATTTATACCGATGACGTTTACCCATCCTGGCGGGACGTGTACTCATGAGCTTAAATTTGAAAATGTAAAGTACTGCAGACAGCTATGTGAAAACAACCAAGGAAGACACAGCAGAGTTCTCCCTCGGAAACTTACAGTGTTATTGTGCATTGTATCTTGCTGTCCGCTTCACATTTTGGAACTGAGCATGACACCCCGAGCATGCCTGCTAAACCAAATATGAATAAAAATTTATATTACAGCAGTTCTGTTACCAGGAAACTTCTATTAACAATGTCCAATTCTGCTCCAATATACATATCCTATGCTTAAGTGTATTGCAGTCTGCATTATTTCTGTGTGTGTTTGTACGCCTGCTAAGATTTATAGTGTCTAACCGTTCAACTGACACTGTCCTGGAAAAGAAAGCTCTGCAAATACAATGAATATATGTAAAAATCTCTCCTGCAAGAAAGCAGCGGAAACTTCTTTTTACAATATATTATATGCAAAGCAGATGCAGATCCTGCTCTGCATGTTGCATAGGGTTTTTGAAAATGTCTAATTTGCCTGCACTATTTACAGCATCATTAAAATTTCTTCATTTTACAAATGGAAAAATAAATCAGAGATCAATGTCATACGTCTAGAATTGCAAGGGCTTCTGTAAGTTCAGTCCCCTTCATACTTACAGAGAAATGCAATGAAAAAAAGATTGTAAGAAAAAATCAGGTCCATAGACTCCTTGTAATCACCTTTTCAGATTATCTTAGCATTGCTGCTTCTCATGTACATCAATTAAATTTATAATGTGAGAAGGAGAGCTTTGGAAAGAGTTTTAGCCTCATTTCCCCTTTATAGCCCCTCCTGTCTGGGCTTTCAAATATTTTTGTGTCTTGAGGGACTTTTGTCACGTATGAGTTTAGTGGGAGTAAAAAGGGCATTCACAGCTCCTTGCAAGATTAGGGTCTTTACATTGGTTGCATCTGGATCAGAGATGAATTTCACTGGCACATCATAAATATACATGTACCTGTGCATGTAAATCCCCGAAAATACCTCTTTATACTTCTCCCCCAATATACACCAGCAGGAATGACTTTCTATATTCTATATTAAAAATACATTTTTTGAGATTATATGTTTATTGTTAATAGATATAATACAATTGATAAAGAATTGACTGTGAGAAACTGTCAATTGCAGACTGTTGTTAAAATCCTAGCTACTAACTAACTTAGGAATCCAGAAAAGAAAAGAAAAGAAAAAAGAAGAACACATTTCAGGCTTCCCTGCTAAATGGTCAGTGTAAGAGACATGAAAACTTGTCTTAATATATGTCACATATAAGGGATGTTGAAGTCCGTCTACATGACAAACTGATCAGAATTACTGCAGTGAAATTATTATTTCTAGCACTTACTCCTAATCCTTTCTTTCTCTAGGAATATGTCCAGGTAGTTCCAACTTTCCTTAAACCCTTCTGCTGTACTGTATCTAAGGTATATACTTTTCCATATTTTTTGACACATTACATAGGTATGAAAGAACATCATATATACTTTTCTTTTTAAGAAGTCACACACGTCCGGTATAAAATGAATACAGTAACCTACAGATCAAGACTCATAGGATGATTTCAGTGGCTAGATGCTAGCTTTATAGTCAAGGCAGACCTGAGAGGTAATGGATTATTTTCTCACAAGTACTGCCCTACTCTAAATATTACTCACGGTACATTACACACAATGACAAGAAGCCGAAGCCACAACGCTTTACCGAGGAAGAGCATCTCACTCTCTGCTTATAACTTCCACTTCCACTGTTAGTTTTCCAACTGTTCAAACAGAAACTCTGTTTTGGTAACAGCTTGTTGAGAGAACTCCACGTTTTCCCAGTACGTACTTGAAGAAGATTAATGAGTCTTACTAACACGCCAAGTCACTCTGTTCCTTTCTGTCAATAAACTCCCATAGAACAAGGATGTCTGTCTCATTGGCTACAGTTTCATGCAGATATGCTCCAAAATTTTAATTAAAACACTAACCACAACCGATCATGAAATAAATTCCAAGACACTGTTTAAGAAATAATTGAACAGGTATTATTAGGTAAGCCTTCTTACCAAGAACTTTTGCTTCTAAGGGTCAACGAGGAGGAAGACAAGTATAAACAATATGAACAATTTCAGAGAATTATTCTTATTATTTAATTTTGATTTCTATCATCAGCTGGTACAACCTGTTTTTAAAAATGATATCTACTTGCAACACCCTACTTGCCTATTGTCCAAGAATAAATAATTTTCATTTAAAAGAAGGCACAGTATCACTCTTAACTTATTGGTAAGAGGGGGAGAAGAAATTTTGTGCGTGGAGAAGGTAGATGACAATTTCTGTAGGACTGACTTATTCATGACAGCAGTAAGGTACCAGCCAATTCTGTTATATACATTTTTAAAGAAAGAAATTAAGAAATAAGATGGGGATTTCTCATGCCCTTCAGTTCTGAGGAGTTGCAGTGTATTCAGGACAGTGCCATCACCGTGCAAGTGGAAAATTGTGGGGTAATGGCGTTCTGCCTGTCCTACATTGCACAAAAAGAAGAAAACTGTAGACTTTAGCTCTCAACCAGCCGATGCTACGGGTTAGCTATGAGTAAACCAGAGCAGACATGAATTAGCCAGCAAAATCAGAGCTGATGCTGAGCAGGGAGTACCCCTTTGAGGAGGCAGAAGTAGGAGCCAGGGAGCCTGACAAGTCAGTCGTGTTAGGGGAAAAAAAAGGTGGGCTGGAGTAGAGGCAAAGAGAAAGAAGATGAAAGTTCATCTATGGGAGAATGAGTACCACTTACGCAAACCTGAGAGTCTGAAAACAATTTCTACTGTCATTATTCTAGTTTAGCAGTGATTTAATGCTTTCCTCAAAATATAAAAATATATAGTATGTAAAAATATATAAATATAGAAATACATGTATGCATGACTCGGATAGATTGATAGTAACTAAAATTCCTTCCTTCCACTGAAGTAGGAAGGCTGTTGTTCTGTTTTCTACTTAGTAAGAACAGGCAAAGGGAATGAAAATTCAGGGCCCAGAAAGAATATAGAGAGTTAAGACACTAGAAAACTTCAACATATTTATTCTTTCAAAACCAGTAAAAGTTGGGCAGTTGGCCTAATAAGAGACCATTAAGAACAAAGGATAATTAGGCTCGCAGAGGTGTAACATCACTGAGGGAAAACCAACAATAGTAGTATAGGCTCTTTCAGAGAGCGCATTTGTGGTCCTTACCCATTACAGTCATTAAAAGAGGAGCCACACTACTCCCAGCTTTTCTAGCAGTTGAAGGTGACAACCAAAATAGTCAGTGCCGAAAGCTTCAGCGAACAAAATTCCTGCAGGGTCTTGGGACTTTAGTCAGCACTTCCTTTACAGATGTTTCCGCTTACGTCCCCTGCGTTGTCTGTCCGGCACCCAAAGCAGCCTTCTGCCGCTGCCTCTACAGAGTCCTAGCTCAACTTTTTTTTTTTTTTTTTCCAGGAGAGGTGTTGAGATGCATGAGTAGAGTAATCAGGCGTGTCCGGGCCCTTAGCAGTGCGAACTAGCACACTATGTGCTGGTAGCAGTTCTGGCACTGTCCATCACAGTGTCCCTGGAGTATCTGGCTTTTTTGTCCTAGATTCATAGACCAGTAACTTCTAGTGGAGCCTAAACTGTTGTAGCTGACTTTAGCTTGATCTTCACAGTGCTTCTGGGCCCAGACTTCAGTCCTCTAGTTTTCCTGCAGCTTCTCTGCCATATCATCCACTCTCAGCGCCTGATCTGTATGAACAAAAGAATTTATCTGGAACATGCGTGGTGAAGACATGTCTCTCCTTCAGGTACATCTGCAAGAAAGAGAAAAGAAAACCATATCGTTCCTTGGCGCGATCAGGATGACAGTAAACAATACAACATGCACCTACCCACAGGCCAAATTTTGCAACTTTGCATCTGGATCCGAAACGTAATCATGTTCCCTGGGAGACCATCCAAAGAACAGAATGCCAGGAAACTATGCATAAATGTCTGAGAGTCTAGTAGAAATGGCCAAGAGACTTTTGCAGTTTTGTAATCTGTAGATTATGCTTTTGGGGATGGAGCAGAGAGTTATGGAGAAGATCTGTTTCTGATGTATAAATTATACCAGGAGGGATCCATGAGAGACAGAGGTGAAATTTTACTCCTCCACCTCAACCATCCTTGATGTGTTGTGCTGCTGTTATCCTAGCATTCAGCTGTGTAGTAAAACCGCTGCCCGGTGTGGGGGAAATGCAGAAGCAGTGCCTCATGCGCCTGTCTTCAGAAGAAATCTGCATCCTGCTACGGAGATGATACGCACGGTCAGGACTGGGGGCCTGAAAAGGAATAGGAACTGGATCTAGCTCGTCATTACTCTGGGAACGTCAGCAGAAGATGGAATATGATGGACAGGGTGAGGTCATGGTACGTGAGTGGAGTCTAGAGACACATGTGAGAGAATGGATTAAGAAATCGCTGGGGCTACTATGTATCACTGGGTTATGATCTAATTCTACTGTTAATCCAAATGACTTCACAATCTTTTGGATCCTAGGTTTCTGTCTTTTAGGAGCTCTAGCAGCCAGAACCAAGTGGCCTAGCTTGGATAGGCATTTGCTGTGCAGAGAAGGAGAAATAGGAGGACAGTACCTTGAGATTGGAGCTATTTACTCAGGTCGGAGATGGTCAGGCCTTTCCCAAGTATGAACACTTAGGTTTGTGGGGTTGGCAAGGGTAGGCGATAACACATCTGGTCATGACACAATCGCTTGCTTGAGAGAACTTCCAGCCTCTGCTGTCTAATTAAAGGGAGGTTCTGGTTTTATGTGCATAGAAGTCCAGAACAAGTTGGGGAGGGTTCTTTTCCTGAGGACGGACAGTTTTAAGCCAAAAGGGAAGACTGGCATGCTCTTTCCTTGCTGTAGCTGTCAGGCCCAGAGTGCCATACGTTACCTGTTCCCTCGACAGGAACCATTGCCCGCATCCCATTTCGTCCCCACCGGAAATATACTCACCAGTAGCTAGCTCTTGGGCTGTGGCAGGGGTCTGGCTGTGCCTGGAGACATCTGGAAAAAACGTGTCCTGGAGGATGACACCAGGTCTGAAACAGGTAGCAGGCTGAGACTGAGATGCGGCGAGGATCCTTCATGGAAGTGACTCTGCAACTTCTGTTGCATGCTCAGGTCTGCCCTGCAGACAGTAGTTTGTGAACAACTAAGAAATTCATGGTGACTTGCCATCCAAGTATTTTGTGAAAATCATCTTAAAAAGGAAAAGTAACTCTCACAGTCCTGGTCAGCCCCATCCATTCCCTACGGGTAAATCCTTCTTCACCTTTTTTTCTTCTGAACTGAGAGCTGTTCTATCAACATAAGCTTCAGCCAGGTGCCCTGGCTTCTCAAAATGGCCTCTGGTTTTCCAGAGAGTCTTTGAATAGGAAACCTACACCCTGGTTTCATTTGAAAAGTCAGTCTATGTTCTTTCCTGTGAACCGCTGCAACAAGAACAATGCCTGGAGAGTTCCTCCAAAACCAGCGTTCTTTTGTAGGGGGTCTGCTGAAAGGGGATTGTTTTGGGAAGGGGGGACTGACAGGACAAGTGAAGTCACAAGGAGCCTGAGCCAGAGCGCTCACTACATCTACAGGACGTGTAAAGACAGCACTTGAGTGCATTTCACCCGGCCAGGAAGAACTACTCCTGCCAAGTTGCCTACCTAGGCCACCTCACGCTCATATTGGAGAGCAAGAAACTGGGGAGCCTGAACTTCAGTGCAAACTGAAACCTAAACAAATACGATGGCATATGTGTGGCTTGTGTTAGCTGAGAGCATGGTGGCATGCAGCCATGAGGAACCGGGAAGGGTTATCTTCTCAGATGGAACAGGGATACAGAGCATAAGGCTTCCATGGGAAACCTCAAAAAAAGCTTCAGAATCCATGACAATCAGCTGAATCCAGCGAGCGAGCATTTTCTCTTCTCCAGGCTTCCCAGGACTAAACAAACTAGATGAGCTCTCCTTTCCAAGGTTATAGTTCTTCTTGTTCCCTTTAGTATTAGCAGCCCCAAATTTTCCTGTTGAGTGTAGAATGACATTTAAAAACTGTATTGAGTAGGTCTAACTACATATTTCTTTGCTGAAATTTCAAGTAGGATGGCCTGAAAGAAGTCTCAAGAAGCTGTTTTTTAAAATATTTGTGGTGCTTTAAACTGGGGCCTTTTGTGGGAAATGCAGGAAACGAAAGGTTCTTCTTCATAAGAATGCCTCAGGCAAAGAGAACTAGAAATAACATATACATTAATAAACAGCTTGATAATTTAATTGTAGTATTAAATAACCAAACCAGCTCAGCTCAGCCCTTACCTGCATTGCCTGCCTGTTTATGTCATATGGTGTGGTTAGGATATGTCTAGATATCTGGTATGCAAACTTCATGTATAAACGGTTCTTTAAATTGCTGATTATATCCTTAGGCAGGTTTTAGTGAATTAATAGAACTTGTTGATTGGTGAAAAGTTATCATGTGTCCTACTTTGCACAATGCTATCTAACATAAATATTTGCCTTAAAGGTGTTAACTTTTAAATGAGTGAGTTAATATACATAAAATATCAAGAATAACATGAACAAAATTATCAAATTAGTTTAGCTTTAAAACACTTCTTAGCAAATGAACCCTCATTTATGCTCACGTTGTTTAACAAAGGGAGGCCAGATGTGTTCTGAGTCATACAACAAGTCATCACAGAGGAAAAATCAACTTCTCCCCACAAATTGGTTCCCATTCTTTTTAAAAGACACTTCCTTCGTAATCAAGTGAGATCAATACCTTGATTTATCAGAATGACACATTTAAACAAGCCACAAACTCTAAGAGAAAAGTTAATGAAGACTGACTGCCTTGGAGATTTTTAACAATTCATTTTTCTTTAGGGAGGTGAGAGAGGTTGTGATTAATCCTAGCTTTTTCCTTCTCTGTCTTGTAACAGATTAGGTATATGAAAGTGGCCCGGAGTTACCTGCTCTGCTTAAAAAAGGAAAAAAAATATATATATATATACTTCTTATTGGCCATACTGCATCATAAACAAGAAAAACAGAATTCAGATGTGGCAAGTACAAGCTTTTCTTCTGCTTTTCTTCTGCTTTTCTGTGAAATTTAAAGATAAGGCTTTAGGAAAGCTCTTTCAATATATGTTTGCTGAATTTCATTAGTACAATCTTAATGTTTAAACTACCTTTACATGTCTAAAGCTTAACAAATCTGATACCTGGTAATATCTCTCTGGAGTTCCCAGCTTTCGGGCTCTAAAAGACATAATCAAAGTGTTTCATGAAGTGTAAATTGCACAATTCTGTGTCCTCAGTAATTAAAGACACCTCTTAGACTCAGTGCATGGGCTCCAATAGGAATGATGCCACTCAGAAATAAATTGCATGGCTGCTCAAGATTCTTCCCCAACACTATTAGAAACTGTCCAGGAAAATTATATGAACTAAATTTGCCATAGTGCTAATTTACATTGCCATTAATGAGAATACAAGTTTTAAATCACAGACACAGAAGTACTATTGTGCATCCAGCTTATTTCCGCACCACTCAGGGTGATAAGACATTCTCTAGACAACTGTAATTATGAGTAATTTGTAAAAGTAATAAGAACTGCTTTTTATTATAGGCAATAAAAATCAATTCTTCATTCAATTATCTTTCCTGGCTATGATATGATAGCTGCCCTGAGTGAGTGCAACAGGAAAAAAGTAGAGCTAAGTTCTGAGGAGAAGAGTTATTAAAGAAAAAGAGAACAGCATTAAAAAAAAAAAAGTACTAGAATTTAGTCTCTATTCAAACTTCTTGTCATAACGATATGGTAATAAATGCCTGGTACTATTGTTATAATCCTTCTCTTTCTTTAAGACCCCAAACTCACATAGACTCACATAAATTTAAGCGTAAGACTAATTTCATTGATTCAATGGGATCATTCTCGCGGTTAAGGTGAAGCACAAATATAAATCTTTGTAGGATCAGGGAAAAGATGGAGAAAAACATTCTGGCATGCGATTAGCTTTAAGAATATAATAAAACTTACTGAATTCAAAGTCAAACATGAACTTAATTTTAGCATGAATTAGAGCCTCAAATCACAGATACCTTCTATTTAATAATATATGCTTCTCATGCTTCAAGAAAAGATGTTTGTTTATTTTGAATAGAGAATACTGTGCGGGAGACAGACTATTGGAGAAACAGGAAAGTATTTCAGGAGAAGTGTCCTTCTGGTTTGTTTATGAAGAAAGGCAGCATAAAGAAATACAGAGGCATGAAAGTACTCAAGCCCACTAGTCTGATAGGTAGGACTCATTTTCTTATCTATAAGAAATGACAGATTTTCATGGAAGTGATGAATTAAGCCTCCTCTGCAGAGAGGATTTGAGGGTGGGCCACTTGGCCCCATGACACTTCATCTCCGTTCTTCACAAGAAGAAGACATTATAGGTTCGATTGACCTTTAATTCAGAATAATAAAAATGGAGCTCATTGAGTGTGCACAAGGTGACCCACCCTGCCAAGAACGTTTTATCGGCGAACCATTTAATGTACCCATAAGGACCTGGTGAATCTAAAAGGTTATTGGCACTCTCTACAATGATTATTATTCTAACCACTTACATCTGGGATATTTGTAGTTCTGGGCACACCTACTGCTTATCTTAAAAGGAACCCACCTTTTACAGCTCTCTCCAGTGTAATGCCTCACTGCTAATATACTGTTAGATCCCAGCTGGAGTCAGGTGCCATTTTGTGAAGCATTTTATTGAAGGAAAAATTCATATAAAACATACACAGAATGATAATCACTTTCCCTCTTTCATTCCATTCCAAGATCATCTTCTTTTCTGCAGCCTTTCTCGACCTTCATCGGCCTACTTCTGTTATATCTCCTTTCTCCTTTAAAATTGTGAGGTTTACCTTTATCTCTTAAGAATTGTTTAGAAGAGATAAAAACACCAGTGAGAAATCTTCTGATTAATATATTTTATATATATTATACAATATTATATGCTATATATGTCATATAACCTAATATCATATATATATAAAAATATATTATATATACATTATAAAATTTCTAAAGTGTGAATATTAGGAAAAAGGAGTTTTATCACATTAGGGTTATCTCAAATTTGTTGTCAAGGTTTTAGCTCCTCCTCTGAAAACAGCCGTACTGACTGGCAGCTAGTATCATAGTGACAGAAACAGCAGAGCTACGTGCTTCATAGATATAAGTGATGAACTTCATATTTTAACAAAGTTAGTTGGTGGGCAAGGCAAGAGGATAAATCTTTTCATATGCATCCAGGGATTTCAAGGTACCTTGAGGAAAGTGATCCACCTACAAAATACATTTATTCCACGATTCTAGTTCTACATGATCGACACCCTTGAGTAAGGCTTCACTCGTGCCAGTAAGTAACGTACCTGAACCTGAGCTAACAACATATCAGCAGCTTTGAGGCATCCCTTCTTAGAAAACTTGTATAGCATTTATATTCATTAAAACAATTAGTCAAATCCATAAAATATTGTCTGATATTTATATATGTAGATGGTGTATCTTAGAAATTCATTAATTTTAGTGATAGTTATTTTGCTTTTCCAAGAGCATCCCATTTGTACTCATTCTAAAAAGGCTTATGCTATTTTAGACCAGAGTGATATATAATTAACTTTTAAAAACTCTTCTTGGGTTTTCGAAAGGTTGACACAAGTAATTTACTGAATTTTAAAACTAGTCAAGGTTAGGAAAAATTCTATGTTCTTGGAAATGCAAACACTAAACATCTCTGGCTTATCACAGTCAGCTTTACACCTGGCAACCTATCCCAGGCCAACTTTCCAATGCTACTGCTTTCGAGGGCGTAAAATGCATCTTGTTCAAAAAGCTGCACGTCATGTACAGAGAGAACAGCCTCGTTCATGCTTTATTCCTTTCATCAAACAGTTCGGTCCGTATGCTGTGACCCAGTGTTCGGCAGCCGAGGCGAACAGCAAGGTGCCATTATGCTCCCAGGCCGCTTGCCCTGCTGGCGCGGTCACACCTTGCTCTGCCGTGCAACCTGCCTGAAGAAGCTCCTTTTCCTGGCACAGAAGTTTAAGGATACCTGCATACAGCAGAGATGTAAGTTT